TTAGGGGGCTGGAGCACATGACTTATGAGGAGAGGCTGAGGGAACTGGGATTGTTTAGTCTGCAGAAGAGAGGAATGAGGGGGGATTTGATAGCTGCTTTCAACTACCTGAAAGGGGGTTCCAAAGAGGATGGATCTAGACTGTTCTCAGTGGTAGCAGATGACAGAACAAGGAGTAATGGTCTCAAGTTGCAGTGGGGGAGGTTTAGGTTGGATATTAGGGAAAACGTTTTCACTAAGAAGGTGATGAAGCATTGGAATGGGTTACCTAGGGAGGTTTTTAAGGTCAGGCTTGACAAAGCCCTGGCTGGGATGATTTAGTTGGGGACTGGTCCTGCTTTAAGCAGGGGGTTGGACTAGATGACCTCCTGAGGTCCCTTCCAACTCTGATATTTTATGATTCTATGATTCTCTATTATTCTATTTATGAGATCATAATTGGAACACTCTGTCCAAGTCTGGCCCATCATTTCAAAAAGGATGTTCACAAATTGGAAAGCTTCAGATAAGAAAAAAAGCCTTAGAGTGAAAGACTAAAGAACAGGGGTGGGCAAACTTTTTGGCCCGAGGGCCACATCTGGATATGGAAATTGTATGGTGGGCCATGAATGCTCATGGAATTGGGGTTGGGGTTCACGAGGGGGTGAGGGCTCTGGCTGGGGATTCAGACTATGGAGTGGGGCCAGAAAAGAGGAGTTCAGGATGTGGGAGGGGGTTCCGTGCTGGGGTGCGAGAGGTGCGAGCTCTGGCTGGAGGTGCGGGCTCTAGGGTGGGGCTGGAGATGAGGGGGTTGGGATGCAGGAGCATGCTCCGGGCTGGGACTGAGGGGTTTGGAGGGCAGGATGCGGATCAGGACTGGGACTGAGGGGTTCGGAGAGTGGGAAGGGGATCAGGGCTGGGGTAGGGGTTTGGGGCACGGGAGAGGCTCAAGGGTGTAGGCTTTGGGCGGCGCTTACCTCAAGCAGCTCCCGGAAGCAGCGGCATGTCCCCCCTCTGTCTCCTACACAGAGGCGCGGCCAGGCGGCTCTGCGCGCTGCCCCATCTGCAGGCGCTGCCCCATCTGCAGGCACCGCCCCTGCAGCCCCATTGGCTGCAGTTTCCAGCTAATGGGAGCTGTTGAGACAGCACCTGCAGACAGGGCAGCGTGTGGAGTCCCCAGGTTGCGCCTCTGCATAGGAACTGGAGGAGGGATATGCCGCTGCTTCCGGGAGCCGCAGCATGTGCTCGCGGAGTGGCCCCCAACTCCGCTCCCCAGTGCACTTGTCCTTGTTGAACCTCATCAGATTTCTTTTGGCTCAATCCTCTAGTTTGTCTAGATCCTGCTGTACGCTATCCCTACCCTCCAGCGTATCTACCACTCGTCCCAGTTTAGTGTCATCTGCAAACTTGCTGAGGGTGCAGTCCACACCATCCTCCAGATCATTAATGAAGGTATTGAACAAAACTGGCCCCAGGACCCTTGGGGCATTCTGCTTGATACCGACTGCCAACTAGACATGGAGCCATTGATCACTACCCATTGAGCCCGACGATCTAGACAGCTTTCTATCCACCTTATAGTCCATTCATCCAGCCCATACTACTTTATCTTGCCAGCAAGAATACTGTGGGAGATGGTATCAAAAGCTTTGCTAAAGTCAAGGAATAACACATCCACTGCTTTTCCCTCATCCACAGAGCCAATTATCTGTGTATTCAGAAACAATGTATTCAGATGTAATATCTTCCTAATCCTACTTGGTATTCTCCTGATTATACATCCAAATTATACATCACATTCACCCTTTTTGCTACAGTATTGAATGAGGAAGTTCATGTTCAACTGGTTCTCTGCCATGACCCCCAAGTCTTTTTCAGAGTTACTGCTTTCCAGGACAGGATCCTCCATCTTATAAGTGTGACCTATATTCGTTCTTCTTAGATGTATGAACTTGGCATCCTAACCAAGCAATCTAGGTCAGTCTGTATAACCGACCTGTCCCCGTCATTATTTATCACTCCACCAACTTTTATGTTATAAGAAAATTGTATGAGCGATAATTTTGTATTTTCATCCAGATCATTGATAAATATATTTAATTAGCATTGGGCTGAGAATAGAACCTTGTGGGACCTTACTAGAAAACCGTCCATGTAATGACAATTCCCAATTTACAATTACTTTTTGTGATCGATCAGTTAACCAATTTTTAATTCATTAATATGGGATGCCTTGAATTTGTAGAGTGCTATATTATCAGAATGTCATGAAGCACTGACTCAGATGTCTTAAAGAAGTCTAAATATGTTGTTTCAACACAATTATCCTTATCAACCATCCTATAATCTCATAAAAACATTAGTCTAACTATCTTTGATAAAACCATCCGGAGTGGTGTTAATTTTGTTAGTTCAAGTCCACTGGAACTTCCCGTTGTTCCGAGATCTGTTAAACATCAACATTAGTGGCTCAGAGAGCTCCTTTGCCAATTCTTTTTATACTTTTTGGGTGCAAATTATCTGGTCCTACTAATTTACAAATGTTTAATTTTAATAGTTGCTGTTTTATATCCTTTCCAGTTGATGGTGGAACAAAAAGTATTTCATTATCACTGTAAGACATGAATACATGCTCATTCTTTCCAAATACAGAATAGAAATATTTATTGAATTCTGCCTTTTCTGTATCGTGATTGCTAATTTACCATTCTTGTCTAGTACTGGACCCATACCATTGTTTGGATTTCTTTTGTTCCATATATATTTAAAGAATTATTGTTTATTCTCCTTAATCCTACTGCCATAGCTTTTTAGTGATTTTTCATAGTGATACCTACTGTGTTCAGGTTGATGGATTACTTTACAAACACTGTATTTGTTTATATTCCAAATGGTAAAATATTCTACAGCATGGAAACTGATCCATGTATTCAATACAAAATATTTATCAAGTAGCTTACCAACATAACCAGGAACGTCTCGTCCTTTATAGGTAAAGCAAAGCATTAAATTCACACACACAGCAGGCTGGCCATTTTCCGCACATTCCAAATTAGTTCGATTTACAGCATTAGGGTGTTTTAAAAAAGCTTCAACAACCACCACTGGCCTTGTTCTAAGAATACAAAACAGTTTATGGTCACAAAATGCTTCAGCATGAATTTATAATTACCTCTGCACACATTTGTTATTTTCAAATATAATATTTATGATAGTGTCTTATCTTATACACGGTAAGAATAAAAATAGAATTTTACATGTTGAATGTGAGGGTTTTATTGCTCCAAGAAGTTTCAGGATGTCACTTTCCTTTTGCTCAGAGGTGTTTACTTAAATACATCAGCGTAGAATAAAATTCTAGTGCTTAATGACTGAAGTTCAAAACACCATAAAGAGCATTAAGAGGTCACTAGCACATTACACATTTTTTAATTGCATCTCATAATTTACAATTAAGTCCAACTGTCTTTAAGCACTGAAATGTATCAGCCTCACCTCAGCAGCACGGCAGAATCGTTGAGAAAGGCACCAACTGCTACATCTGTACAAAAAAATAAGGATAGATGCGCATCATTATTAGTCAAAAAGAATCACTTCTCAGGCGTAAGTACCTTACTGCACATTTACCTTTTGGACGATATTAAAACACTATTTGCACATTATTAATTAGAGGGGATATGCTAATATATATATACAGAGAGATACTTTATCTATCATTGATATTTCCAATGCAGATTCCTCAATGAGTATCTGTTTACTTTCTGTTAAAGCTTCATGTTAATGTTCCTGCCATTGCTAATGCTATAGCTAAGGCTGCAACTCAAAGTCCACTAAAGCTGAAGTACAATTCAGTTAAAATAAGAGGCATTTGCATCTTTTTCTCTAACCCAGAATTATTATTCTCATTAAAATTAAATGTAAAGTGTTCACATGACAGAGTAAAGGTACAATGTGAAGTCACTCTGTGAGCCGTAGTCTAAGGGTAAAATTTTCAAATGTGTCTAAATGACATAGGAGCCTAAGTCCCATTGACTTGCAATGAGAGTTAGGCTCCTAAGTGTGTAAGTCTCTTTTCAAAATGTAACTTGGGCGCTTATGAAAATTTTATCCTGGCTCTCAAGAAAGTCTTTTATTTGGAGAGAGTGAATGAACAAAGCAGAGGGCTCCAAAGCAGAAGAACTTAAGTCTATGATAGATTTATTCACTTGAACCATTTATCTAGATCAGGGGTTCTCAAACTGGGGGTCACAAGGTTATTACATGAGGGGTCGCGAGCTGTCCGCCTCCACCCCCCAAACCCCGCTTTCCCTCCAGCATTTATAATAGTGTTAAATAAAAAAAAAAGTGTTTTTAATTTATAAGGAGGTTTGCACTCAGGTTTGCTGTGTGAAAGGGGTCACCAGTACAAAAGTTTGAGAAACATTGATCTAAATATTGCTATGTCTCTCTCTAGCCATGGAGTTTCTGCTTTTATGCAGTAAAACTTTCCCTAAGGACTCTCTGGCATAAAGGGACTCTAAAACAATTGAGGAGCTTTTCCTCCGAGGAGCCTCTCTCAAGCCCAAGCACAGGGCATGTCAGCATTGGGGCCACCCATATGTCTCCTTGCAGAGGCTGCCATAACTTAAGGTTCCAGGGAGCTGCTCCAGTCCCCCTGGGCCACAAGTTCTGTGCTACACCTTTCACTCCTGGTCATTTCCTTTAATACCTTTGTTGATTATCAAGACTTTGCCAGTAGACACATTAAATCCTCTTTCCTAATTTATTCCGTAATTCCATAATTTAGTGACTGCATGTTGAAAATGGTGATGTAATAAATGTCAAATTGTGACATCACTGGATGAAGTACTACAGTAGTACTACAAACAGATATTATGGTTATTTTCTCTTCTACTGTACCACAAACTTAGTTTTAAGCCTGAGATCCTTAACTAATAGGAAATTAATCTGCCACAGAAAAACTGCCTCTTGCCCTCAGCTTTACTTCTTTTTTTCTCTTCCAAAACTGTTATGATGATGGCCTGTCCCTCATAGTTTTTGCTCCTTCATTTTATATTAGAAATACTGAGTAGCATGCCTGGTTTGTTTCCCACCAGCTTACATTTAATTTCATTTATACTACTTTAAACAGGAAGAATAGGAATGACTGTTTAATTCACCTGGATAACCATTGTTATCTGCATCAATGCCACTTGATATGGATTGTCCAAACATGCTTAAAGTGTTGCTGATTCTGTGTCCTTGTATTCTCTGAAAAATAAAGGACTGCCCTAAATGAAAATGAGCTTTTCCAAACATTCTAAGTAATATTTATTTTAGGTGGTAACCAATGGGAAACTGTAGCACAACCACTCTGCACCTTATCCCAATCACTTCTTGATTTCGGTTTAATTAAGTTTGAATCCAATATTGGTTCCTTTGTTTCAAATATTATATCCCATAATCCATGCCTGAGAACTACAATGTATTCAGATATTTCTGTTACATTGAGAAAAAGCTGATTTCTCCACTGGATCTATATAGTTGTTATACGGCAGCTATGGCCCTTTAAATGAAGGACCTAAATCCCACCTCCTTGAGAGGAATCGCCAAATAGAGAGTAGCAAAGAGGCAGGATTTCCCATCACTGTTCATTGAATAGACCTGAGCAAACAGTTTGGGACTCCCAGACACATATAGTAGATAAATAGGATGAGTCATCCAAATATGCATGGTGAGCATGAACCCCGAACTGTCATAGTGCTAACAAAACCAACCTCTGTTGAGCATAGTACTCTGTTGAGCTGGGAATATGTATGTGCAAAAATGGCCAAGGTTGAGATCAAAGTAAAAACTACATACTAAGTGAAAGGTCAGAAATTCAAAAACTCAAATATATTCAGTTGTCCCTTAGGCAATACAAAAAGAAATACACTATGGCCAGCTCGACACTACAGACTTATAGCGGCATAACTATGTCATGCAGGGGTGTGAAAAATCCACACCCCCAAGCAACATAGTTATACCGACCTAACTCCTGGTGTAGACAGCGGTATGTCGACGGGAGAGCTTCTCCCGTTGTCATAACTACTGTCTCCCGTAAAGGGGGATTAGCTACGCTGATGGGAGAAGCTCTCCCATCGGCATAGGAGCGTCTTGACTTAAGTGCTACAGCAGCGCAGCTGTGCTCATGCCGCATTTTAAATGTAGAACTGTGTGACGCTGACAACCTGCTCCAATGAAATTTAAATGTAATCATTTTAAATACTTTACTGGGCAATGTTTTTTTTAAAGAGAATATCAAGAAAGCCATACCTGCGAGAAGGATGAAGATATCCCATCCTTCCTGCCATTATAAATATAAATTGCTCCTTCTAGATTATTTTCCTGGGGAGCCCCAATGGCAACATCTGTAGAAAGATTTTATTTTAATACAGGGAAATTATATTTAATCAATAAACAAGAAAAATGTTTTTATACAGTTTTCTCATTTTGAATTTGTTTATATTTCATGTATGGGAGACAGTATAGGTTGATAAGTTTATATTTAAGGAATCAAATATTGCTTTTACAAGTTTATAAAATGTCTTGCCGACCAGCAGATATGAGTATGATGGTTCCATATTTTATAACCTATTCAGCAAGAGCACAGGAAGCAGACTGGATTGGTCCTATGACACATGAAGATCCATTTATAGCTGTAATTTATGTGTAAAATATTTACAAATGTAGCCCTGATGCTGTAATCAGACACGCTACAATAGATGCCTGCATGGAGGCTCAATGGACCTATGCCCAAGTACATGGTTCACACTAGTAAGTTTGATTTCAGCGCTCCATTTTTTTGTAATGCTTCAGAGTGAAGGCTCGCTCTTGCCTTTTTTCCAAGAGGAAATAGAGGGGCTCATGGAAATATCCGAAGTTTGAAAAGGGGCTTCAGGATTTAAAGAAAGAGCTGTATCAATAGTACTGCTTCTGTGTGTTTTCTGCCCTGTTTTACACTAACAGTTCAGCCTGAATGCCTGTCTAGATATGGTTATTCTGAGGTACAGTGACTTTAATGACAACAGATGGGATGGGGACTCAGTCTAAGTGTGAAGAGAACAGCCCTTCAGCTGGGAAGGGTTTGTCTGCACAGTGCATTAGTTCATGCTAAAGAGGGGTAAATTCTGGTGTTCATTAGCTGGCCACATGGAGCTTGCTAGTGCACACTAAAAGTTCCACATTCACGTTGTCCAGTTCAAACACTACTTCCATCAAAGTCAATGCAGTTGCGCCAAGTTACAGAGAGGTTAAATTTAATTTTTAAACGGTAATAAGGGGTGATAGCCAAAATGACCAATGGCCCTTAAAAAGAAAAGATCTCCTCCCATTGCTAAAACTATGATAATTTTGCTGCCCTCTGATGTTCCCACAACGATTAAAGCTGTGAGACACATGCCATACGCTATTACTTTGTCTAAAACAAGTCAATTTTCCTTATTTTTAAATGTGTTTAACATCTCATTAACATGCTTGTTTGGGCATATAACAGGGAAATTAAGGTAACTAAACAAAGTAATATGTTGAATGCCTACATGATTTAATTCCAGTGGGGAGTACAGATGCGAAAGAATAGCAATAGACTAGTTCCTAAATCACAAACATAGTTGTTCAAATAGCCAGAGCAAATGATCCAAAAAGAAAGTTACAAAGTACATCAGTTCAAAATGCACCAAGGGAAATGAACAGATTTTTGGCTTCACTCATAAACAATCTGATTCTTTGCAAAGTGTAATAATATAAGTGGAACCAAACCAAAAAAACTCCCGAAAGGAAAGTCTCTGCTGACTAGGTACAGTCGAACAGTTCTCTGATTTAATCCAGTACCATACTTCAATGGTTAAAATGTTACATCTCTCTACTGACTAGATGAAAATATGAGAGACAGTTGTGCTATCTAATTAAGACTAAACATACATTCTTTGGGGTAAACTCATTCACTAATGTACATCCAACTGACTTGACTAATTGATTCATAGGGTTTTAAACTACTGAAAAAAAAAACAACAGCTCTTTCATATACTTTTTTCTTGCACTTCCTATAGACAAATCAACTCTTTCATCATCCAAGAGTTGTTTTTATATTTCTCTGCCATGTCCATTTTTCTCTTACAGGAAATATCTCCTCCACTTTCTCCCTCCTCAGTTTTAAGTTGCCTTGCCTCCTCCTCCACTGTCTCATCTCCCCTAACTCTCTTATCATACCCCTTCTATGTCATATTACCTATTATGTTATCTGTTCCATGCTATATTACCTATTACAGCTTTTGATTGTACAACTCGTTCCACTTAGCACATTGTGGGCACTACTGGAATTACAAATTATAACTATTTGCAAGATGATGATCTCTTTATACACCATAAACTTCTGGCCTATCTTTAAATTATGTTAATTTGACATACCATATTTTACCAATTATCATCATCATTTGTATAGATTAATCACAGAAAGGTAGAACTCAGTTTCTAAACAGAGTAAGAAGTTTTCTCTGTCCTGAGAGCTTGCATATAAAACAAAAGAAAGGACAGAAAAAAATGCAGCTATGGAGATTAATGGTGAAGGAGGAAGAAAGCTCAGGAGGAAAGATTCTTGAAAGAAGAGAGAGGGTGCTCAGAGGATGAGAAGAAGATGATTGTTCCAAGACTAGGGGGCTGCAGGACAGAGAGTGTACTGCCAAGAATGTGAGATAACAGGAGCAGTAAGAAGAGTGAACCAAGACGAGTATAGGAAGTGAAGAGTGAATAAAAGGAGATAAATTCAAAGTTGTAGGTGCAGGGTGAATCTGATGTGGTAAAAAGACACCTAGTACATTAAAGGTTGCCTGTTCTTGGGCCTGGGCATGATTAGCGTCTCCTATATAGATTAAACTTTGAACAAAAAAGCAAAACCTATGGCTGAGCTTATAAAGGGGACCCAAGAAACCAGCAGAGAATTCCTGAGAAGTACTTCCGCTTTCCTCACACATCGGGTGTCTGCTTGCCTGCCTGCCTGCTCTGCTGATAGAGAGTAGCCATCTACACGTGACTTGCTGGAATGGAAACACGAACTGTTCCTGTTCTGTATAAAGACAGGAGTGCTGCCACTTAGCCCACTCTCCTCAGCCTCCCTGTCCTCTGGGATGTCCATCCCATTTGGTTTAGCTGACTGCAGCCCCTCCCACCCAAACCAAATGTTTGAAAGCCACTTCTTAAGCTAGTTCAAGGGCTGAAGGAGGGGATGACATGGTCAGAACAGAAGGGGAGGAAGATTTCTTGAACGGTGATATTTTAGACAGAAGAGAAGTAAGAGAAGACCATTAAAACCATTGTCGCTCAGACTGTCTGTGGTAGACCCTTTAATTGCAATTTTCAGAAGAGCTCGCATGTTGGTGTTTCTTTTTAATGTGAACACAGTGCTCTTTAGAGGAGTTGGCTTGACAACCCCAGAGACTGAATTTCTCTATCCTCTGAGCAGGTCTAGTACAGGCAACAGCAGTGTAAACTTTGCAACCTTGTTTCACCAACATGAGGGAGGGAGGGAGGGACTTCATCTAAAGGTGAGAGGGTAATTCAGCCTCCATATCCATTCAGTCCTTGGCCTCTCTGCTGAGACAGGTAGACACAATTTGGACACACACCCACTACAACCTGGTCTAACATTATTGTTTCACACAGGAGAAAAGTTATCAGATGGTAATGACTATGGACCTGGAGTAAATTCGGAACACAGGTGTAGAATGAAAGGCCCTTTCATCCATTAGCAATCTCCTGAAACATTCACTCCTCAGATTTATATTACATTGCTGTCATGAATTACAAATATACTCATTAGTACCTTCAAAACCATCATTATCAATGTCTCCTAGATTAGCTATAGATTCGCCAAACCTCGCTGCATAAGAGTCGCTCCCAACTAGTTCTATCTCCAATTCTAGCATCTCTGCTCCCTAAAGGAAAACAAAAACAAATGTACATTAAAAAAGAGATTACCAGTGACGTGTTGTTGACCTTTTCAGTGCATAAGCTATCTCAGAACACACATTTCTGAATCGTAAGGCTGATATAGGATATATGAATTGCACAAGTAAAGGGAGCTTAAAGTGTGGCTCTGCACTGAAAAATTAACATGTAAAATTGGCCTGATCCTTGTGTGTTTTCAAAATCACGTTTGCACATTTCAGTCAAAAAGTTTTTAACTACTTTTTACGCTTGTTAGCCCTGAACAGTCACCACAACTCAGAGAGAGGGAACTGGATTCTCTTCTTGTGAATCATCAACATAATTGTTTACTACAAACAGCTGGCTCTTGAGCCCAGTTTGACTTTAATATACCAGGGCAATTTTCATAATGCAAGGCAGGTAGCCAGAAAAAAAAAATCTCACTCCTTAAATTGACCACATTGGTTATGTAAATCACTAAATATAATATATCCAGGACTCTGTAATTTTAATAGAGTCGCTTTTCATACTAGAGTTGTTCTTTAAAAAGGGGAAAACAATTTGTTGTAATGGTGAACATCTGTGTGCAATAAAAAGCCTACATGAAAACAGCACACAGATCACTGCAGTGCCACAAAGAACATCATGCTAAAAGGGAGTGCCATCTTCCCATCTCCCATTCCATCTCAGTTCACTCCCTATTTCATAGACTTAATATGATCTTTGGACAGCTGGAAGCACCTTTGGAAGCATCAAGGAATAACCAGCCCTTCATGAAGACAATAATTGTGGTAAGAAAACAATAATGGAAGATGCATATGTGAGAGAGAAAATAATTGAGCATAAAAATTCTAAAAATAAAATTAACAAATTAAAACTAAGCAGATGAAAATGGAAAAAGTGATTACATTTTAACCTCTGATTAAAAAGCATAGAAAAAATGAATACCAATATATAATAACTCCAGTTATTTCATTTACCAAAATATGGGGAATAAAGAGATCTACCATTCTCTTTCCTGAATGCTACTAGTGACTACACATCTTTCACTCAGCTGCAAGTTGTTTGAGTTTGAAGCATCGCCTATTCTGTTCACAAACTGTTCCCTTTTTTGGTGGTTAAAAGAATGGCTTTCAACAAGCTAAAATATCTGTTTTTCAAATTATAAGCCATGGGTCGGCAACCTTTCAGAAGCGGTGTGCTGAGTCTTCATTTATTCACCCTAATTTAAGGTTTCGCATGCCAATAACAGATTTTAACATTTTTAGAAAGTCTCTTTCTATAAGTCTATAATATATAACTATTGTTGTATGTAAAGTAAATAAGGTTTTTAAAATGTTTAAGAAGCTTCATTTAAAATTAAATTAAAATGCAGAGCCCCCCTGGACCGGTGGCAAGGACCCGGGCAGTGTGAGTGCCACTGAAAATCAGCTCGCATGCCATAGGTTGCCTACCCCTGTTATAAGCAATATAATTGCGGAGTGCATGCAAATAGACTACAGTAACATACTAACTAGCATATCGAGTTATGAAATCACATTAATCTTTCTACTTTAATACTTTGTCTTATGAACACCAGATTTACAGTAGATGTGGCTAGCACTTGATACATTCATATGCAAAATCATACTGCTGTTCTACCATATTCCCTGATACTAGCATAAAGTAGGTTTCAGTTAAGATCCCAGTTTTCATGGTGGTATTTTAGCAAAATACATAGTTGTACTGTAAGTCATGCACTTCAAATGCATCATGTCAGAGTTCCTGTAACAAAGCAGAAAATACTGCTATTCGGTTTGTAGGACCAGAATTACTTTAAATAGTCAGAATTAAAAAAAGAAGACACACTTACAGAACCTGAGTTGATGTAAACATAAACCCTTCCTTCTTCTCTGACTTTACTTTGCATTGGAGCGCCAACCAGTAAGTCTGAGAGGCCATCGGTATTCAGATCCACTGCGCAAACAGCAGCTCCAAAATAAGAACCAAGCTGTGCACACACACACAAGAAGTGAAGAGTCATCAAATCTTTAAGACAACACACAAGAAGTTATAATATGTACCAAAATAACATGAAAGGTTACCTTTTTACCCTTTAGTTCAGACAGAATATTTAATGCCCTTGTCCCAATGCTAAAAATGTATGCCTAAAATAAGAAGAGAATATAGGAGAAATTCAACTCTTTGCACTTACGGTTTGTCAGTAAGAAAAATGAAACACTAAATATGCTGTAGAGGAAAGAGAAATCCCAAAAGGCACCAAGACCACACACAATTCAAAATAAAATACAGTCATGCAATATCTCCTGCCTGATCCTTTCTTAGCACGACTGAACAAGCAAGACCCTCTTTCACACTGTGTTTCCTTTCATTCTTTCTCACAAACTCAGAGAAGCTCCAATTTTCTGTGCTCCCCTGGATCACAGAAATCCACTCTCTTAGCTTTCCATTGCAACAATCCAAAGAGGAAAAGTTACAACAACAACAAAGCACCTCTTACTTTACCAGTCTGCTCCTGTTGGGGAGCTCCTCCAATTACTTCTGTACTAGCTGGTGTCAGAAAGTGGCCAGCTCCAACAGCATATCCTGTAAATGAAATAGAGTCATAACTGAATGCAGTGAATATGATTACAGGCGCCATGAATATAATTTTAGAGGTGCTCTCTATGGCATATTGTCAACAATCCAATAAACTATGGTCTATTACTTTTCATACAATATATGCCTCACTCAGATGAGCTCTGAAGGAATAAAGTGCAATTTCATGCAGGTAAATAATAAACAAAACATTTAGAAAGGTAAGTTTTCATAAGATAAACAAGATGGTCAATAAAAATAATAAGGTTTGCGCCCAATTGCTAGAATTCACATTAAAAATGTCAGAAAAACATCTCACATAAAAGATGCCAAACACACCTCCATTTTCCAATTGTTTGCCATTTTAAATAATGGAAATCCATCTTATTTAACAACACAGATTCATGAGTCACTTTCAAATAGGTCTGAGTTGTAACAACAAATTAATGCAAACATTCACATAAGAAAATTCAAAGAGAAACTATATCATTCAAAGCAATCACCAGATTTGCTATTTCAAATGTGGTTGGTTTCTATTGTATTGCAATTAAAAAAAAGCACAATACTGTTACTAATACTGATTATTTTTGTTTGTTTGTTTTTTGTGACGAGCACCTTCTTAAACAACCTGGATATTAGATTTGGCTGGTTGACAAGAAAATATTTCTGGCAATGATCAGGCAGTTGGATCCACAAGGGCAGACTTTTACATCTGTGCAGGGCCCTCCTGACTAATGGGGCTATATAGGGATATAAAAGTCCACCCACAGATAACCTATTTGAAGATTGGGGCCTTGTTTTTTTTAAGCTATGCATAAACTGGTCATTTGTATTCCTCTCAAATTGCAATATGGGACACAACTGGCTGAGCTCAGACAGAGGAGTAATTTAATTTATTTATATTCTGCTCCCCTTGTAACTACAGAACTCTCATCAGCTTTCCATGGAAGTAGGGAGCGCAATATCATAGAGGAGAATTGTGCCTTAAATCTTTAACTTGCCAAGATGACTGTGTGGAACTCAGGTTCCCATTATGCCAGCATTTTCTTTTCATGTTTTAAGCTATAAGGGGTGAACAAGACCATTTATCATTTAAAGGTCAACCCCCAGTTTCTACTTATTCAACAAAAAATTAAGCTTAAGTAGATGAACCTTAATTTTCATGCTCTGATCTTTACTTTCAAGTTATTTTGTTTTGTCCAAATGTAAAAAAACATTCATTTCTAATGATTTTTTGGTAACTGCAGGTCCCAGGTCTCTGCCCTGTTCTGAAGATTATTTTTCATATGTTGTATGAAAACGATGTGAAGTTTATGCCTTTATTATTCAAGGCTCCACACCTAAGCAAACCATTTCTGAGGCTGGGACAACAGTTCATCTGGGTTTTGTTCTTTTTACTGCTAGAACACTTCTGAAAAATCTCAGGAGAAAACCCTGACAAAATGTTACAAGTCACAAATAAGTTGATTAACAACTTCCTCATTCATTCACATTGACAAGAGGGAAGCAGTCAAATGGGAAACCTGGAAATGAGCTGAATCAAAAGGTGTACATTTTAGAGGAGCCAAGGCAGTTTTATTCCAAGATTTCCCTAACCTAGCTCCTGGTCTAACTTCCATTTAAGTCAGTGGGAGTTTTCTGATATTTAATGGGAGATGCATTGGGTTCTTAGTAATGAGTGGGTGAAGGCTTTCTATCTCCAGACCTAAAGCACACAGGGGATGAAAGAAGTGGCAGTCATGAATTCAATAGCCCTGAAACTGAAGAAGGAAGAGGAGCCAACATGGCATTGTCCGCCTCTTCTCAGAAGCTCCTTCACCAGAGCAGTATGTATTTGGGACTCCCAAATGGTTCCTTCATGGATTTAATGTGGCTTGGGGACAGGTACTAAACATTGCTTCATTCCTCAGCAGTTCTGTCAGAAATTTCCCTTGGAAGTAAATACTCCCTTGTGCCATCTTTCCCCAGACAGATAGGGCTATGGCTATAGGAGGGGGAAGCAATAGCACAACTTCCTTAGGAGTTATGCTGCTGGGGGAATTGGAGAGCAATGCAAAGGGGCAGAGCCTCCACACAGATGTTCTAAGATCTCCAGAATGTCCCCTATCCAACTGGAGGCCTACAAACCCTTAACCTTTCCTGGTGGAGCAATGTCCCATGTAAATGTACCCTTCTTGCAAGAGTGTATGATGTCAATGCTTATAGTTAGACTTCTCCTCAGGCCTAAATTAATCAAACCACCTAAGCACGTACTTAACTTTAAACACATGAGCATTCCCATTGTCTTCACATGTTTTTCCTACCTAAGTCGCATCTTCAATGGGTTGACTTGTGTTTAAGTGTAAGCATACATGCAAGTGCTTTGCTGGATCACCATAATTATGAGACAGAGTTCTCAAGACTACATATATTACTGCAAAGGGGCATTTTGCTATCCCTCTCATCATCCATCTTCTGTAAGAATTCTGTTTCTTATTCTGAAAAGCAGATGAAACACCTCCCCATTAGGCTTACCCTACAGGAAGTATGGAAATAGAAAGACCAAGTGCAATTAAAAATGTATACTGGACTATAAGAGGAAGCATAGATGGAGTTAAACTTCTGATAATTATAAATTAACTCATTAAGATGCATGTCTAGAATGTATTCATATACATACCTAAGTTCAGATCTTTTATACTGTACCAACTTCTTTCAAAATGGTAATCATTATAATTTAAAACCACCAAGAAAGTGGCTAAAAATTTTGAGACCACATCCTGTTTTAAAACAATTTCATCCTGTTTTTATTATTGTAATTAGAGCTATTCAAGTACAGCTAAGGAAATCCTGCCAAACATTATTTATTCACTGACTTCTCTTTCCCAATGTATTCTCTTCCTCAGGGGGCTGGTACTGAAACCCCTTTCTTCCCTCCAGCTTGAAATCAAACCCTACAACACCCATTTCTCATGTTCTTCTCCTGTAAAACTCCAGATAGCCAATGTGGAGATTATGGCAATTAAGAAAACAATAACTCTATAAAGCAGAGACCAATCACTGATCACTGCCAGAAGAAAGGATAGTGAAAGCATATAGATTAATTACAGTAGTCTGTTTTGAATTGTAGGCTGGTCACAAAATATACTTTCCTCAATTGGTAATACTATTGTTATTTATGTGCTGACAATGTGCTTAGCACTGTAAAAATATACAAAATGACTTCAGAATCAGCCCTGAAGAAACTGCAACCTAAAAGACAGAAATATAAATCCTATCTCCTAGAACTGGAAGGGACAAGGTCATTGAGTCCAGCCCCCTGCCTTCACTAGCAGGACCAAGTACTGATTTTGCCCCAGATCCCTAAATGGCTCCCTCAAGGATTGAACTCACAACCCTGGGTTTAGCAGGCCAATGCCCAAACCACTGAGCTATCCCTCCCCCCAAGGAGATTGGAACACTTGGAAGCCCAGGGCAAGGAATAAATTGTGACTCAGCTAGCATGGCATGAAGGGGCACCACAGGAGAAGCAGTGCGGGGGGGGGGGGGACTCTCAGATGGTTGGCAGGCGTGTATTGAGGTGGGGACTGGGCAGACCTTCTCTGCTGCCCCAACCTGCTGGCCAGGATAGCTGCACCAGTGCTTTGGGAAACACGTGTGCGCTGTTCAGTACAGAGACCTACTGCAGTTTACTCCTTCCCTGGAGCAGCAGGGGAAGCAGGAGGAAGCCTGTGACTTTTTGAGTCACAATCCCCCTCCCAGCTGTCCATGGGGAAGGACAATAACAAACAACCCCTTATTCTAAGTTCATGGCAAAGCCATAATTGAGCCTGTTATTAAACATATTTAAATATTGCATGAAATCTGCTTACTGCAGTGCTGAGTGAAGTCTACAAACCATTTATGATCAAAATCCTTACAAACAGAGCAGTCTTAAGTGTGCAGTGTGAACTGTCACTCTTTTAAATCAAACGCCACTAGAAATTATTGTAAATGAAGATAAAGCAATTCAGAAATAAATGTTTGAGGCAATTCAGATGAGAAGAATGTAGAGGAACACAGAATAAAAGTGAGATTTTAAAAAGATTAACATCACACTCAGAATCACAAGACAGGTCTGCAATATTGCCACTCTGGGGTGTAACAAAGATGACATTTCACACCCAGTTGTATAGACCAGGGAATTAGCGAAACAGATGAATAAAAAATATTTTAAATACCTAAGTAACTTCCAAATTTTACTTGGTTCCTCGAATCTGTATAAGCTTGAGAGGTTTTCGCAGTGGTATTGTACACAAAGACAGAACCAGTCCAATAATATGATCCTGGGGCTCCCATTATAATTAAATCCTGGAGAAAAGAAAAAAAGAGTTACGTTTATGTATTAAACTCTTAAAGATAAGCATGATGAGTCAAATTCATTCCTGGTATAACTCCCCTGAAATCAATGGAATTACACTGGAGATGTATTTGGCTCAATATCAATGCATTAAAATCAGATCACATATAAAATGTTTTATATTTTTAATATATGGTTATTATTTCCCTACTAAAAGCTTTGAGCGGTGAGCAATTTAAAGAAAACCAGAAACAAGGTATCTTCCCCCTCAGCAGAATATTTTAGAAATCATATTCTCAGGTAGAACATAAAAATGTACACTGTAGTGCATCGCTCTTTATATACAGAATGTAAGCCTTATTAGTGTTTAATAGTTCTTTCAATAGGTTATTCTGAATGGAATAAAAAATATGCTCTATTATATTCTTCACTTCCTTTCAAAATAAAAAGGAATTTTGGATTTAAAATAGAGTGCCATGATAAATTATGTTTTGGCATTTTGAAAATTATTATATACCTAAAACTCTTATCTTTAATAAATTTCATTTTAAAAAGATGAAATAGCATGACTATGCACAAATGTATGATGTTCTCCAGGAAATAATTAAATAGGAAACTGATTTTTTAATACACACCTTAAAGTAAAAACTAGAGATCCCAGCCTGACATGACCCATGGTTTTCTCCAAATTTTCGCACATAATCTGAATATAAAAAGCAAAAATGATTTAAAGTCTACAATCATCTTGAAAAATAGAGAGTTTCAGAATTCCTCTGCAGCTCTCTGAAATGAGAGTAGAGATAAGTAACAAGAACTGGTTTCTACTGTTGGAAATAGTACATGGACTTCAACTTCATACCAGAATAATAAAGGACTTGAGAAAATTGTCCCGTTCAAAATGCATCACTTGATTGGAGCTGGGTTTTGAAGCCTGAATTTAGCTATTCTAAAAAGGTGACAATCTCCTTTAATACATATCAGTCCATGAAAACAGCATGTCAAAGTGAAACGTCACTATACACAGTGCTTGAATAACAAATGCTAGTAGGTTTAACACTCCTCTTCCCACCCCTTTTACAACTCCAGCCATACTTTTGATGGAAATAACTACTTTAATCGGAGTTCTCATGATGCCTATGCCATGCATCGCTGCTGGGAATCCAGTACATGTACAGTTTAGAGCTGTAATAATCAAACTATTTCTCGTATCTATGGTCAGCCATGGCTTCTTTTGCTGCTCCATTAGATTTTTGGAAGAGCTCCTCCTTGGATATACCAGTGTCTTGTTCCCACTTTCCATCTCTTTCATTTTTTATCCTTCCTTTCTCGTGTTTTTAATCTCAGTCCGCTATGTCTGTTTGTCTTTCCTCTGCAAGGCTCCTTATATCCATGCTTTTCCAATTCCAATATCTTACTTTTCTTTACTAACACTTTCCCTTCAGTCTCTCCTTCATTTCACTCCCATGTACACTCATCCGTCATTTACCCGCCTCCTACTCCCTTCACCCAGTAACCATGGGAGGTGGAAGGATGATCCAGCCAGTGGCTGTCTTTGATTCCTGGGGATGGATGCTGGAAGGAGTTTCTACATCATTCTCTGTGGGAAGGCCAGATTATTTGCCTCAACTGGGGATAGGATCACTAAATATTTTGACGTATTGTTCCCTCAGGTTTGGGGAAAGTACCACAGGAGCTGGGGATCCCCTCATAGATTGCTGGGGGGCACTGAGGCCACCATTCCCATCTTGGGTCCCATCCTGCTCTCACTCTTGTTCCCCTGTAGATTGCACAAGGGCACGGAGGGAGGCCTCTTCCTGCAGGCTACAAGTTGGGTGAGAGATTAGGCCTGGCAGGTGTTAGACTCAGGAATGGGGCAGTAGGCAGCACTGGCTGCTACTGGGAACAGTCTGTCCAATGCTCAGGAAGAGGGAACAACAGCCAGTTGAGGATGCTGTTTCTAGTCAACTCAGACATTGTGCTCCATATGCCTAGCTGGTGGAGGGAGCAAAGAGATGAACTGAGCCTGCACTGGCCTATTTATAAAGAAAATAGGCCCTGCAGGGGACCAGCCCACTGAGTAAATATTGGTTGCCCTTTTCAGCTGTTGAATCAATATTATTTCAAAGTGATCAAAACTTCACCAGAAAGTTTGGTCCACAGGCCAGATTTCTGTCTTCAGAAGCCACTGCAGGCCCTGGATAGCAGAAAGCCTACCCAGGGCAGGTGGGAGGACGGGGCAGAGAAGAAACAGTTTAAAGTGTCCACAACCCCCAGCTCATTTCTTTTTTTCCAGGGGCATATCTGTTCTTTTATTTCCTCAAATCAAGTAGGATGTTATCTTATCAAACCCTAGAAATCACCAAATTCTCTGCTTACCTTTATAGCAAGGACTTATTCTTTTACTTAGTTGTGTTCGAAAATCAGGAGGGATTTCATAACAAACGCCATTAGGGAGTTTGTGTTCAGTTTTTATGTAATATATATTTTTCCACCTATGTCCACATGCCTGTATATATAAAGAAAAAAACAACACGAAATGCGAAAGGAAAATGTAAAAGTTGTGAAGGTAGTATGACAAAAGGCATATGGTACTTAAGGCAATACATACAACAATGGTTCCATTTTCCCTTGGCTGCCTGGACAAGCTGACACCCAGCCATTGATTATCTCTCTCTTCAAAACAGGTCTTTCCACAAGAGTCTCCTGCTGGATTGCCTGGAGCAAAGAAACCAAACCAAACCAAAAAAGCTATGACAATCAGCTTGATCACAGGAAATATACTAAAGTTATATGGACTTCCTTATTATACAACTTGATTACTAGATGATTATATTAAACAGCGTAAGTTCAGCAGAATTTATACAGATGTGTTTTGTATAGGAAGTTCCATGTACAGATATTAGCATGGTTCATATTTTTCAGAAAGGAAGGTATGCTGCCATACATATAATATGTCCAGATCCAAACACAGCATATTAGGTGTGAACAGGACTTATTAGTCATTGAGCTCTGATTGTGTAATCATCACTGCTGAAACTGAGAAAATCAGGAAGCTGAGCACAAATCCAACACGAGTAGCACTCCTGTTAAAAAAATACATTGCTTGTTTTATAGCCGAGGACTTCACCCCTGTGGTGTGATCTCAAGGAAAGTACTAATAAAGTGGCATTGTTATTCACTGAGCTAATTTATCACAAAAAGTATGATATCTTATTATAAAGATTCATCATGGGTATACAAGGAAATTTAAGACCTAATATTAGGTATTCAGTGAATCCAAAATGGGAGAATTTTTCATATCTAGCAGCGAACTCAAACCTCAGGTCTTAATCCTCTACCATACTGAATTAAGACTCCCATATCCAAACCCACCCTTACAGCTGATTTTGCCCAGTCCCTTAATCTGAAACCTCAAAAGAGCCTCTTGTAATTCCTGATGCATTTGGATCTGAATTCTAAACTAGAGCCAAATATCTCCTGTTTTTGCCCCTTCTTTACTCATGCCGCTATTTCAGGGATTGGCAACCTTTGGCATGCGGCCCATCAGGGAAATCTGCTGGTGGACCGGGATGGTTTGTTTACTCACACCATCCGCAGGTTTGGCTGTTCGCGGCTCCCACTGGCCGCGGTTTGCCATTCCAAGCCAATGGGGGCTGCGAGAACCAGCGTAGGCTGAGGTGACAAAGGTTGCTGATCCCTGCTCTATTTGATGCAGTGCTGAGAAGTCAGCTCTACTAAGTATTCCTATTCTGGTAAAATAAGATGTCTGTAACTACAAGCTTTATTTTGGAGATGAAATCATTATGGATCAAACTTCTGCGTACTGAATACTCTTTATACAGAATGAAAGCAATTATTTAAAGGTGGTTGCTAGTTTGCTTCTCTTTAAATGTCAGAAAGCACTTTTTACACATGGAAGGACTTTGAGAAATTCTGCAAATAAATATTTGGCAAGTTCTTGTTTCCTCCCAACAAGTTGGTGTGTGTGGAAAGAATACTTTTATGTAGACAGGACTACAATTTAAAAAAATATATATTCAGTTTGAAAGGCTCAATTACATTTGGAAACACATTTTTATAGAAGGTCTCTCTTACATATTTACTTGCAAGAGCACATGGCAGAATACAGTACTCAGTGTTTCAGTCCAATATCTTCAGATAGCATTTTGCTGCTCAGTTTACCAAAACTACTAAGATATCTATTTTTCTATCCGAATTTTGTATGACAGTTGGAATAAAAAACTCCAACAAGACTTGTGCTCACCTGTCCCAAGGCAAACTAAATCCTTTATACACGAACACAACACAGAATCTTTCTGTCACATATAAATTAGCCAGCAGAGGGCTCCTATACAGATCAGTGAAAACAACAGAAATACTGTACAGTATATTGACATTAATGGAGGGGAAAATGGGCATGCATCAGAGCTGACATTTATTTGTAACATATTGGTGTAAGGGCTATTAAATTTGAACAAATGCATACTGAGTTCTAAGTGTCTGCTAAATTTCTTGAAAAGAAAATCCCCCTATATTGACTTGATGTATTGCCTCCTCTTATTCCATGTATAGCCTCTTTATGCAATACAGAGGAAACAAGAATTGTCTCAGAATAATCAATGTATATTTTTATTAGAAATAAAAGGAGTGGGGAAAGCTAGCCTCTCAGATTATCTCATGTTCTAAGAACTTTTGGAGGTTTTTCCTGAACAGCAAATAAGACTAGATTGTCATGTGGTCTGAGACAGGGAGGTTTCACTTGTATCTTCTCCGATCTCAGTGCTCCCTTCTGTCACCCATTTTTAGGTGTCCCTAAGAATTTCAGAAGCGGTGAGAAAGAGCACTTTCCTCTTCTCCCATCCATTGTATTCTCCCTTACCCACTTGGTTATCTTCCCTTCTCCTTGACGCTAAACTTTGGCCCTCTGCTCTTCCACCATCTCCTGTTTCCTCTGAAGCTTCTCTCTTGTTTTCTACTCTTCTCCTGCTCTCCACTCCTTCTCAAGATTCATTGTTGTTCCCCTTTATTTAATAGTAGAGTTTCTAGCATTGTTTTAAGGAAGGAATAGTATGACACTCTTGTGGGCATAAAGATAGGTTAAGGGAGCGTGGGCTTAATACCATGGATATAATGATGAGCGTGGGCATGATATTATCCAAGTTTAATCTAGTGAGAAGACAGTCGGCACAGTCTGCATCAGTTTACAGACAACAGCACTGCTGAAAACACCAGAGGAAATTGCAACTTAATTGTCTCAGGGGAAAGGGGCATGTCTTGCTCTTGTAAAGTCACTGAGATAAATAAAAGTGCAGCCTGTGTAAATTGCAGAGATGAAAGAAATATCTCTGTATCACCCCCACTACATGACACTCCATGGAAACAGCATAGTCAAATATAAGTCATACAGACCCCTGCCTTTTGCAGCCCCTACAAATCATCAAGTCTTGGATTAATAAATCTATTCCAATACATCCAGTTAGCAATATATGCTGAGTATCAAAGCAGGAGACCCCAAAATATCAATGCACATGGAAGGAAGAGATGTACAGTTGTGTACTATAATTAGGAGTAAACAAGTCATTCAAATAACTGAGCCTCTTTGAATTGTTTTATATACTTATTTCAAATTATTCAGTGATTTGTTATTATTCACAGTAAATAATTCTTGGTCTTAAAATTGTGCAGTAGCAATTCACTTCATCTGTTCAACATCTGAAAAGTGAGTTGGTATGGATCATGTTGACTGGAGATAAGTCACATGGGATTGTTTCCATTCTCCCAATTGGATGAGTGTAAGTCTTAGCATCAGGCTGTTGGTGCAAATACTTGCATTTGAGTTTGAAGTTTGCTTTCCACAAATGTCCTTTCAGATTTCTGTGAACACTTCCCTCTCCCTTGCCCGCCCCCAAGCAATCTCATTAACTAAAATATTAAGGGAATGAGGACAGAAGAGGGGTGTGAACACAGGTGATACAAATTCTTTATTTCCTCCAAGGAAATATTTGCAGAAAGTTGTTGAAATGTTCCCTTGTCTTTAACTGTAATCCTTCACCTGGGGGAGCTACAGGGCAACTTGTTCTAGCCCGATTATGGTAAGGGCTTAAGGGGAGAAATTGTGGGTGGCAGCTCTAGTCCCTACCTCAAGAAGCTGTGTAAGCTTATAACTGGAATATAGCTTTTCTTTTGTTTAATGCTAAAAAGCATGAATCACTCACTGCTTTTGTGAACAATAACTTGATTCCTCTCAGTGTTATTGGCATATTGATCATACTCAATTTTTACTTTGAGAGAAATTGAACATAAAAGATATCATTGACTAAAAACGAAGAATATTATATTTTGAATCCCTCTACAATAATATACAACCATCTTAACTTGGTGGGGGAGGAAGCTGGACTCAATGGAAGTTAAAAGCATGCAGCATGTCACAGAATTAAGGCCCTGATAGGTCTTCTGGGATATCACTCTAAAATAATATACCCTGAATCTTTATTCTTTGTATTTTTGCACACATCTAAGCACTAAAAAAACCTCACATGTGCAATCACTGTTATAAAAGCCCAGTTTGTGTATAAATTTATAGAGTAGAATACTTGATTTTATTGACAAACCAAAAACACAGTAAATTAAGTCTGAATTTCATGAAATGCTGCATTCATAATTGAACTTAAACTAGAGAAGAGATTCACTGAACTCCACTGCCCTTTGTATTCAATGGACTAGATGCTCAGCTATGGGTGAAATACGCTGAGTGCAGCTGAGGGGTTGGGAAGGCAAAGGTGCACTGAAAGTACCTTCATGGCCCATGCGTCATGGGGCCAGTTGGAAACCAATCCAGCATAATTTAGAGCAGGCTTTTCTAAGTTATGCCTGGCTGCCCATGAGCCCAAGGGGCAGATCTGGCAGCTGAGATCACTGAAGCACAAGACTGCTCTGGATAACTTTCCTACACCAGAAGCCTTTGGGATCTCGTAGCTCTGGCCAACCAAAAATTTCCTAATAGAGGGAGAATCAGCAGCTAGCTGGTTAAACCACTCATAAAGCTGCTTTGCCACATCAGATTGTTGACGAGAACTCTTAATAGGGCCCAGGATCTATCCCAAAAGCTTGTATTACTCAGTACCTTGGTTGTAGACATAGAACAGCAGCAAGAATCCTCCTATAACTATTTTAGCACATCTGCAATATCTGTGGCTCATAATTTGAAGACGTGAGTTCTCTGAAAAAGTGCTTCTTGCATTGCATGAGTAGATACTTCAAATCTTACTGAGGTTACACTCATTAAAATGGCCATTCCTCCTCCTATTGAAATAACTAATTTTCAAAGCAAACAACCACCAGTGTTAAAAGGTCAGAACCGGAACATTCATATGAAAAATACTAACTAGGAGAAACAAGTTCAGTCATAGAAAGATACTGTATCTACAAAAACATCCATGCTAGAAAATAGATACCTAAATAAGTTAGACTTAATTGTCCTTTGTCTACCTTTGTCCCCCTTCCCCTGTCATAGATATATAAAAGGGAAGATTGAACTGAGGAGGGTAATCAGGCTAGCCCGAGCTGGGTCTTATTTAACTTCCTTCCTTCCCCCATGCCCCTCCAACATGGCTGTTTTTAACTTATTTATTTTATGGCAGAACTGTTCTTTTTATATAGCTTGGATTTTTTTAACATGAGGATTGTTTTAGAACCAGTTTAGTGTTATGGGGAAATGATCCAGTTTAAAAAAACCAAACTAACAGCACACTATGAGTGCTAAGTTAGCCCTGGTCTACACTACACAGTAAGATTGACATAAAGCAGCTTATGTTGACTTAACTATGTCAGTTCATAGTTAAGCCTTTCTCCTGCCAATGTAAGTACCCTACTACACCTACATAATATCTCTACTTCCATGAGAGGTGTAGGCTTATGTCGGTGTAATTAGGGCGACGCAGTGTCCACATAGACGCTGCATTACTTACATGGGCTGTTGGCTGTCATGGCTCCAAATTGACAAGAAAGTCCTCCCTCCGAAATCCCAGCTCCCCACCCCCAGCTGGCTCCGTGCTTGGAGCCGTACTGCATCAAGGCTCCTGGCTCCCCACTCGAGCATACAGCCAAGAGCGGCTCCTACTGGGAACAGACAGCGGGGGTTGTGGGGGGGGGGGGGGAAGAGAGAGAAGAGGTGCGAGCCAGTCTTCCAGCAGGAGCTGTGAGCAGAGCTGAGAGACCAGGCTTTCAGCTCCCCACACTGCCCCCTTAAGTTGGTGAAAGAGCTCCTGCTGAGGATGCACACCAGCCACCACTGACTGTAGGAGGATAGTGTGGACATGAACCACCACATTAGTGACTGCAGTGGCTGTAAGGTCGACTTAAGTTTTTAGTGTAGACATGCCCATAAACGTTTATATTTACCATTGTCATCAATAGCAAAGTGGCACGTGGAGAGTCCTGTTTATATTGTGACATAAGCATTCAATGAAGTGCAGTACAAGACAGAAAACATCAGTGTGTACCTCCTGCAGCCTCTATGTCTGCTGGCAGAAGTCCCCCAAATCCATTTAAGAATAGCCTTTGGCAAGTTTTAAATCTGTAATTGCTTAGCTACACCCCAGGTTCAATTCAGAAACCTGTTAACTGTCAAGAAAATCAGTAGTGATTGTGTTTAACACAATCAAGGACTCATTCTTCCTTGCTTCTTCTTCATTGACAAAACTACTAAAAGCAAAATCAAGAAATCCTGCAGAGGCAACAAACACTAAACAGCATGTAGAAGGTAATACCCACTTAAGCCATGCTGCCAGTGGCCCTGAGCATTTTCCATTCTTTCAGTGAATTATAGGGGTGCATTAGGCAGTAGTAGTGGGCTTTCCTAGCTAACGATCAATTTGGCACAATGTAGGTACCTGCTCACTTTATCTAGAAATAGCACCTGAAGCAGGGATTTAATTTTGCTGTTACTACCACCAGATTATAGAAATTCTTTACATATGTTTTGTCTACCTTATGTGGCTCCATGTGTCACTTCACTCTACTGCATAGAGTCACAAAATCAAATCAGGATTGACACATAAATGAAGAGTGCTGATCCAAAAAGAGAAATGTAAACAACTACAGCCAAAACAAAGACTCTTACTTCCTGAGGTTACTCAGGTTCTGTAACCCCAATCTACGTTAATTTAGAGAGGCATATTCTTGATTACTTATTGTATTTTCACTCCAACCAGTTTCACTGCCAAACTCCCCAGAAAGAGAATCGCCTGTAGATAGATATATTCACGGATTCCAAGGCCAGAAGGAACTATTGTGATCATCTAGTCTACATAACACAGGCCACAGAACTTCCCCAAAACAATTCCTAGAGCATAGCTTTTAGGAAAACATCCAATTTTGATTTAAAAATTGTTAGTGATGGAGAACACACCACAAACCTTGGTAAATTGTTCCAATGCTAATTACCCACCCCATTCAAAATGTATGCCTTATTTCCAGTCTGAATTTGTCTAGGCTCAACTTCTAGCCATTGGATCATTGTGGAGTAGAATATGTTTTGTTGTTCAAATAAAAACTCATTCTCTTTCCTCTCACCCTCTCAAATATCTACCTATTTACCTATATAGGCCTATCAACATAATAATGGAGCATCCCTTCCCCTATTTAAAAATTACTCTTTTTTCCCTCTGCATGTATGAAAATAGGTTTGGTTAATTAATCTATTGTTTTGGGGAAAGTGTGGGAATATTGGCTTATGTGTAGGAATAATGAAGGGAAAGCTAAGTTAAAGCAAAGAGCATTTATTTTTTGACAGTAGCTAATGTCTTGTGGGAGCAAATTCCATAGTCCAGCTCCTTTGAAAGCTGTTTCCTGCATTCCCAAACCTCCCCTATTGGCTGGGTTTCATGTTTTCAGTGGATCACAATGGACGTGGGAGAGATATTTCAGGTAGCTCAGGGCAATCTCATGCATGGCTCTGATTACAGGATTCAGACATGGAACTGGACTCTGTAGTCAAGGAGGACAAGGGCAGAGCATGGGAGTGATGTGTTCACAGCAACCTGTGTTCTTTAACAGATGGACTGCTGCATTTTGTACAAAAATCATATACTTGGAGCAGGATACATATAGTTGCCTGTATGCCACTAGCAATCCATCTGAAAAAAACGTTCCAGTTACTTCATCATGGGTTGGGAACTGAAATGTTTTAGAGAAAAACTCCAGAGCATAATTTAGAAACTTTTTTTCTTTTCCCCATTGACTTTAATTACAGTTGCCTTCAGTTCAGAAGATTGAACTACTTTCTCGGGGTGTGTGTGGGGGGAATAACAGAGGTTTAATTTAAATTCTCACAAGCCTTTGGAATCATACATGCTGAAATCAAAATATGGAAAGAAAAATAAATATAAAGATGGGAATGGTCATTTCAATGTAGGGTTAATTCATTTTTTTAAATCTAATGTTATTGTATTCCTTTATATTGGTAAGAAAAAGACAGCTTTTTTAAAATCTAGATTTTTTAGGATTTATATTTTAAATAATTTAATCTAAATTTATAAAAGCATTGATCTTTTATGTTACTGAATAGTAAATATAAATGCTAATTTCTGAAATAGCAAAATGAGACATAAAAATGTGAAATAAGCATATAGAGGAAATCTCTAGGTTCTTGTATTATTGCAAGCAGTGGTATAAGTTGAAGGAGGTTTGTTTAGTCAGATCAAAACTGGGCTATGTTGTACAGGTTTTGCAATGATAAATAGCCACTAAGATGGTTTGAAAGTATTTGCAAAATAGTGGAGGGAGGAACATTTATTGAGACAATCCAATATTTCTCCATGCTTTGGGGAAAATTCTATTAGTTGTTTATTTTGTCATTTATAACTGTTGAGGAATCAAGGGAACATAAGTGTGCACTTCGCTTCTTCTAAATAAGAGCGTTGTAGTGGCTGGCTAGTTTCTGTATTCAACTATAAGTGGCAAGCAAGCTTGGAGTTCTTCGCTGAAGTTGTAACATCACCTTCAGGTGCAAACACCATTCAACTCACCCAGCTGGAGCTGTTCACAAGTCCCACTGGGGTTGCTCCCAATCCTGCATCTGAAAATTGCACCTGGATTGACCACAGAGCTATTTGCCAACCAGTTGGCTTTAGGGGCTCCCACAACCAACCTGAAAGTGAGAAGAGAGAGAGAAAGAAAAAAAAAAACCCTGTCAACAGAAATGCAAACACTAAAAGGCAACCCCTCGCCCCCCAGTACCCAGGAGAATTAGAAACGAGCTTCATGCTCTTCTGCAGCCAGGGTGCAAACGTTTGCAATACGCAACTGTGTAACGGCAAACGAAAAGAAATTGCTTCTCAACTTCCTCGGTTTCTTTGCAGCGGGAATGCTGTAAGTGGATGCCCCATGTAACGGAGTAGCCAAAAAGTTACTGTAACTTTAATCGGATGCAGGATTACGCGAGCTGGGACAACTTGAAAGCGGTTCAGATTTGAAGCCGTCCCTGGAAGAAATTCTTGGGAAGCTCCCACTGAGTGACTCACCGACACCCACAAAGCAAAACCTTTCCTCGGGGTGCCTTAGATTAGAATGTGAGCAGCCGGGCGGCAGTCATTGCCAAGTCAGACCAGCAAAAACAGCGATGACCAGAATGGTGCTAGTTGGTTTACTGCTGTTAGGAAAGTTCCCAAAGGTTTCCCAGCAGACAGAGTTACAGAGAGCTGAGAAGTCGCCTGGCGAGCGAGTGATACTTACCATCTACTAGTGCCATGACTGTGCAGGACAACCGAATAGCCAAATAATGTCCCACTGAGCCCCTTGAAGACCACGGGGTGCTGTGTGTCTAGGTTGTAGGCGTGGGCAGTCCTCATGTAACAGCCCAGGAGAAGGAGCAGGGCAGCCCACACGGGAGCCCCTTTTGAGGCGAGCCCCAAACTCAGCCTCTCCCAGATCCGCATGGCTCCCCGCAGAGCGCGGCCAGGTTACAGCCGCCAGCCCCGGCAGCGTGCCGGGCTCAGTCTGGGGAGCAGCCCCTGCAGTAGGGAGCCGAGCGAGTGACTTGTAGGTCCAACGCTGTTCCCGCCCTCTCTCTGCGGCCCGAGAAGCTGGAGGCAGGGGGTCCAGCCCGGCAGCCCCCAGGGCACAGCGGCGGTTTAGTGAGGGGCTGGGCAAGGGGCAGACAGAGCCGCCTGGCCTTGGCCTTACTGGAAATCCTGAGCGGTGGGCGGGCGAAAGCCCCTTATTCAGCTTCCCCCTCGGGCAGCGCTTAAAGCACAGCGGCCAAGTTAGGGGCAGGCTCCGTGCGATATTTCTCACCAATGGGAGCCCCATGCAAGGGGGTAGAGCAGGGAGGAGCCCAGCCCCGGGCCCGCTGCTGCTAGCCGCAGAGGGATGCTCCCCTCTTGCCCTGGGGAAGCAGCACTGTCCCGGGCCGGGGAGCGCGGCCAGCTTTACTCACCGACCCCATGTCAAGCCCCCTGCGTATCCTGCACCTGCTCCCATGCCCCAGCCCCCCACTACCACCCTGCACCTGCTCCCAGGTCAGAGCCCCCCCCCCGTGCTCCCACGCCCCAGCCCTTCACTACCACCCTCCACATGCTCCCAGGTCAGAGCCCCCCCACGTGCTCCCATGCCCCAGTCCCTCACTACCATCCTCCACATGCTCCCAGGTCAGAGCCCCCCCCAACGTGCTCCCATGCCCCAGCCCCCCACTACCACCCTGCAGCTGCTCCCAGGCGAGGCCACGCTGCACGTGCTCCCATTGCTGGGAAGATGCTGGGCTTTGCCACTTGTGACAGATGTCACCCTGGAGCTGCACACAACTGCCTTGCCCCTCAGCAGGAAGGTAACCAGCAAGACACAAGGGGGACTGGGGAGCAATAAGGAGATGGGGGGGGGGGCAGCAAAATATTTCAGTAGGGGGAGTATAAGGGGTGCTCCCCAAAGAGTTTTTAACCTTCCTTCCCCTCCCTGCAAAATGCCAGTCACCCTGTTCTCTCCTTGCTAGCCTCTGCCCCCAGAGGTACCTGTCAGATGGGCACTGCCAGGGACACTTCTGCCCCTGGGGCCCAGCAGTAGTCATAGAAGATGGAAGAGAATTACAGTCAGAAGGGGAGACTACAGGAAGTGGGGGTGGGGATGGCTGTTGATAGGCCCCACCTTTTAATCCCTCCCTGCATGGACGCAATGCACCTGGGCAGAATGGAAAGGTGAGGGAGGGGCTCAGGACCTCAAGCAGTGAAAAGGGCCCGGGACCAGAGAGACTCAGGGTGAGCAACAGGTTTTGGGGAGTGTGATAAATGAAGGGGGGGTAGCTCCCTTTCATGGACACCCACTCACCCATCCAGTAGCTATAAAATCCCTCTTAGTAGCTGTTCTCTGATTGATCTACCTGTAGAGGGTTAAAAAGCCTCACTGTACTAAAAGAAAGTGGGTAGGCACCTGGCCAAAAGAGCCAATGCAAAGGTTAGAACTTTTACAAATTGAAACAAGACTCCCCTTTTGTCTGTCTGTTATTCTCCTAGGGAGAGGTGGACAGGGTAGAGCTATGCTATAAGAAGTTTGCTCCTGGTATGAAAAATCATCAGTATCATACCTAGAAACTACTAATTTAAAACCCCAGATATGTAAGCAGATCAGGAAATGTCTAGGAAGATGTGATTAGGTTTATTTACTTTATTTCTTTATGGCTCGTGGATTCCTCTGTGCTAACCCCAGGTGCTTTTGTTTTGCTTGTAACCTTTAAACTGGACCTCAAGAAAGCTATTCTTGATGCTTAATCCTTGTAAGTTTTTTTTTAATCTAGCAATAGCTTGAGTTCCCAGATGTATTTTCTTTTATTTTTTTTTAAATAAAATTTACTTTTTTTAAAAGCAGAATTGGATTTTTGTGTCTTACGAGGTTTGTGCACATGTTTTTTAACTAGCTGGTGGCAACAGCTGACTTCCTTTTTTTTCTTTCTTTCTCAGCTCTTCCCCGGATGCGGGGGGTGAAAGGGCTTGAGGGAATCCCACAGGAAGGAATTCCCAAGTGCGCCTTCCTGAGTTCTCAAAGGGGTTCTGCACTTGGGTGGTGGCAGCATCTACCCATCCAAGGTCAGAGATAAACCATAACCTTGGGAGTTTAATACAAGCCTGGAGTGGCCAGTATTAATTTTTAGAATCTCTGTGGGCACCAGAGTGGGGAATCAGCCTTGACAGCTTTAATCATAGATCAGTAGTAGAGTTTTTAATGTTTTGCAAGACACTCCCCATTTGCTAGGGTTCCAGGATATACACAAATCTTTGTTCTAGGCCTGCAGGAAATCTAAATTAGGGAGGATCTTATGAGCCAGGAAGTTGTAACAAGCTACAGCTAGTTGGGTGAACGTATGGTGGCTCTCTCTACATTAACAGCAATGCTTGGCATGGCTCCTTGACTGACCTGGCAGCTAAAAAGTGGGTAACATTTCAGAGAAGAGGGATCTCTGACAAATTTGAAAAGATTTGGTCTGACTTTTTAGAAATTTTTGATTAATTTTTAGCAGATGGAAACTGAGCTGTTGCTCTCCTGGGGAGGACAGCTCAGTGGTTTGAGCATTAGCCTGCTAAATACAGGGTTGTGAGTTCAATCCTTGAGGGGGCCATTTAGGGATCTGGGAAAAACAAACAACACTAACTGTCAGGGTCAGTACTTGGTCCTGCTAGTGAAAGCAGGGGACTGGACTCAATGACCTTAGTCCCTTCCAGTTCTATGAGATAGGTATATATCCATTCCTTTATTTTTGTCTTTTTTGTTCTCCACTGATTTTTGGAAACAAATTATCAAGTAGGAGACAATGAATGTGTGGGAAAGCAGCCACTTATTTTCCTCTTGCTTCCCAACTCATCCCCTTAAAAAGCCAACCCTGTTCCCTTTGCTGCTAAGTTCTCCCCACAACTGTGCATGAAATCATAGCTGCTATGTGGGACAGTATGATATTAAAATAAAATGTGGGAGTGTCATGCAAGAGATATGACACTTAGCAGGCCACTCCAAGTATCCACAACTTGTTATGAAGTGTCTTGCTATATATGTGTTTCAATGAGATAATTAGACCCACAAAGGCTTGCAATCTCCCTCATTTCAGATGACTCAGCTGGCTATGACTAGAGTTCAGAGTGTGTGCATGTAGGCCTTTCCCTACATTCCCATGATAAAACCCCACACATGAAGGAGAAAGAGGACCTAAAAAACTCTGCTTGGTAAATTCACTGTTTAGTACCAAATTATCCTAGTTTTATGCAAATTTGATGTCCCCCTTACTTCTCTTGTTCAAAATTATTTACATCAGAAATACAGAATAATCAAAGGGAGGTTATAGAAAGACTTATTTACTCTAAAGAAATGAATAGCATAGCATTTGAAGTTTCCTGGATTAATAAATGCTTCCCACATTTGGGCTTTGGCTGGTTGAAAAGTAGATTCCTTTCCCTCCTTGAGTGCCTGCAACCTAGTATGGAGATAGGACAGCACACAGCCAAAGTTAATACTGTATTAATTTCTGCTACAAGTATTCTGGTTTGGGAGAGGAATATGTCATGTTGGGTAACTGCTCCCCAGACCTGGCCCCCTTCTGCCCCAATATATCTTAGCCCCCCAATTCACAGAGCCTTGACTGGGTAGGGGCTATAAGGAGAGAAGGGAGATGTCACAGAGCTGCTAGTTTTGTTTTCCACACATATCCACTGCATGATATCAGTGCATTAATGGACAGAAGCTTGCAGTCCTCCATGTTATCTGTTGCGTACAAAACAGCACTGAAAAAAAAGTGGGTGTGATACCTATGGGCTGAACCAGTTGGTCTTATTTTCTGTGTGTTTGCCTTGTTCTCAAGTGTTTTCCACAACAGTTGTTTCATTTTGCAGAAATGTTTGAAATGTTTTATAATTTGAAAACAGCAATTATTTCAACCATTATAGTGCTTAGCCCTGGTTGTTTGAAACATGTCCAGGAAAGGTTGATTGTAGTACTGCATGGGCACACAATTATGTGGACATGCTCCATGGAAGTTCTGATGAGGAGACTGGAATTGCAGTAAATCTCGTGGCCTGTGACTGTGCATCAGCTGTAGCATTTATAGAATTCAGAGAAATAAAGCACTTGTATTTATATGGCTAAGTTGCATAAAAGCAGGAAAATACTACGGGAATGGGGCCATTGTACAGCTACTATGAAAGCATTGGGTTTCAGAGAGAGTCTGACATTACTGGGTGTCATTACTCCGGTGGTCAAAAGAGTGAGGAAAATGGGTTACCAGGTGTAAACCATAAAATCTTGTCACTAAGGAGAACTATCAACGGAGCTGAAGGTAATGGAAAAGTGGCATTAGATGGGTTGTATTGTATTTGTGCATCATCTCGGTGTCCCCTTTTGCAAAGTGCTGAGTGCCTTCAATTGACTTCAGTCCAACGGGAGTTGAAGACACTCAATACTTCCAGGAGTTGTTCGGCACCTTGCAAGATCAGGCCCTTATTTGTCTATTAGTAATATTTTATACCATAAATAATTACTTATATAGCAGCAAGAGTACTGCTCAGCTACATCTTAAGGTAACACTGCTGGCTCATATGCAGTACTTCATAGTGAATGTTCCAAGGGTAGGAAAACTACTTAAGCAGATCCTCAGCTACTGTAAATCATCATAGCTCCATTGATGTTCATGAGCCAGGAAGATTTCTTCATTGTTCGTAGAGCTGCCTGAGAACACTTTGGCCTGAGGAGTTAGCTCAGTGGTCCACAAACTTTTTATGTCATGCCCACCCCTTACTTGTAATGTATTGCGCACACACACATACCCCTGGGAGCGGGGTCAGGGGCCGGAGCCGCTGCCAGAGCTGTGACCAGGAGCCGCAGTCAGAGTTGGGCCTGGGAACTGCAGCCTGGAGCAGGGCCGGGAGCCAAAACAGGGGCCTCAGCTGGGGCTGGAGCAGAACTGGGGGCAGAGTGGGGTTGGGTGGCGCTCCCTTCCCGCCCCCAATGGAGGCTAGCCCGGACCCTTCCACACCCCACAGAACATTCTTCCACAACCCCTTCAGGGGCATACTCCACAGTTTGGGGACCTCCAGGTTAGCTAATATTTGGGGCCTCACAGAGTTGTTTCTATTAGGGGGAAAAGCTGTTGATAAGAGTTGGGTATTTCTTTGGTGCAATCCTGTTTATTTTCAAAGAAAGTATACCAAGTCCCGTTTCTTTGACTATAATAGAAGCAAACAACAGCAGTCAGTTTCCTTTCTCACAATTTCCAAGTCTACACTTCCAGTGCTTTCTGTGCCCCCAAGGAGTTCAGTCACTGTTCCCTCAAAGGGCCACGCTGTCCACTGACTTCCTGCCTCTCACCCAGCTACAGTCAATCC